AAAGATGGCCATCCGAACCACCAACCGTAGTAAAACTACCTACTGCAAATATTGTGACACAAGTTACCAGCCAATAACCCAAAACATACGAAGGAAACAGTAATTTCTCTCTGTTACACCATGCAACGGCACATCAGCTCTCGGGCATTCTCATCTGGGACACTTCAGAAGGTGGTCTCAGTGTGCAAACCATTTCTCTTGTTTTCCCAAAGTACACCTGTAACGTGTATTATTAACATACAGATACCTGCAATTTACAAATACCCAAATCCTTCTTCCCCTACCAAAGAACAGTAACAGAACAGGAAAAAGAAAATCTCAAATACAAGTATGCAGTTGAGGCTTGAATTCTATAATAAAAAAATTACCTGATCTAGTGAGTTCCTCAGTTTACTCTCCATTTCTTCAATCATCCTTCCCATGTTAGAAAGATGTCCATCGGCAACTGATAGTCTCATATTCATCTAAATATAAGGAGAACTAATTTAGGATTAGAACTAAAGAAAAAAAGATGACTCGAGCTAATGGCAAGAAAGAATATTAGCACTCTTCATTAATCAAACAAAAACCGTGTAATTCAATCAGGGTACATTGTTCATGACGTGGCTTCTCAAGAAAGGAAAAAGGAAAATTAGCATACAGCTGATAATTAAATGATCTAATTGCCAACATGCAACACGAGCTAATTCTGATTGAACATGCCTGACGTCTAATTGATCCAGATAAACTGAAAGTTCCAGATGACTCGTTATCTGTAGTCAGAGTCAGCATAACTGTGCTGGTCAAACGATAATTGTTGTTTTCATCCTCTGGTCCCACCTAAATTAACAAAAAAAGTAGGGCTAAGAATTACTGAAAATATTCTGAAAATTTAGAGCTAAATAGGGATGTTATAGTTCCTCATTGCATTAAAAGTTGTTATACAGCTGTATTTGTCAGTGCTTAGTATTCGATGGAATGATACTTTACCTCTATAACATGTATAGCATCCCATGCTCCTTCCTCTAAATATCCCCGTCTACCCTGCCCAGTCTTTGAGCCATCTTTAATCATGGAATTGCAAAAAAATCACATCAGAAACAAGGTCACAAGTGTAAGCAGTGTCTTCCATTAGAGTTTACTCAAATAACAGGCCCACCTTTCTTTATTAAAAAGCATGCTACGAAACCTTCATTATCATCTTCCCACATGTAAACTGACGAAATGCCTCCTTCATAATACCTATGACATTATCCATTAATGGTGCATATTGTTTTAAAACAAAATAGCTAAATAATTGTATTCAGATAGACAGCAAGAACACACAAACTTAGGAAATAAGTTACTACGGACAAAAGATTTCTTAAAAAGACATCTAAAAACAGCACATAAGCTCTAAAGATGAGGTAAGTAAAGGACCTCACTGGTCACGATATATTGCAAATATGTCATTTGCTTCAACTTCCAGCTCCCGCAGCCTTAAAGAAGGAAGGGACCCATCTTCTAATGGTGGATGGTATATATTTGACCAAGGTGATCTGTAGAGACATTCAGTCAACAATAAGTTTAAACCGTGCGTAAATAGTAAACACGTTAAAAAGGAAAATTTGGGGGAACAATCAAGAGAAATAAATTACAGATCTGTCTATGGGGTAGGAACTTAACTAGTTAGCAACACACAATTAAACATTTGAACCGGTCTCCATTTGAAGAACGAGTTTTCCATAAAATATTCTGTTGTTTTTCTACTACACAGCCACATTCATCAAAAGGCCAGTAAATGCATTCAATGGTCTTTTCCTTATATTTAAAAAATCACAAAATTAACAATATACCATTCACGAAAGAAAATTAATTTCTTTCATTTCCCCTCTCGTTCTCTGATTCCAGACACCACCAATTTTCTATATCTTTACATCGACATAAATAGAGCTAAATCCCTTTTAAAAGAAAAATGTTTAAACGCTATAGCAAACTAAGTTGAGGCATACTAGATGTAACATTCCCTCAGTACAAGCTCCTAGCTATGAGTCCAACCAAAAGAATGACTAAATAAAGGTCACACCCAATTTAGCTTCAGAGGAAACAAAAGCTACTCGATCAAGTAGACACACACGCACACAAAAAGAGAGAGAGAGAGAGAGAGAGAGAGAGAGAGAGAGAGAGAGAGAGAGAAAGATGCCTGAAAACACACACTAAGCATATTGAATCCAGCAGAAATCAGATATAGCGATGTTTATGAAAAAAATAACCTGTAAGAGTCTGCATCTCTGTTGTATTCACACAAAATGAACTCCTTCCCGCATTCCACATCGCAAAGAACCTGCTTTTGTCATCAACAATTTAATAAAAAAAGAAGTTGGGAAAGCAAATCGCGACACAACATTCATACTCCACCCAAAAAATATCCTTAACCCTATTTAAAGAAAGAGCAAATATCGTAATTGAATTATTTATGGTTCCAGAAATGGCATTTCGTGAATTGCAGAAATTGGGATAAAGATTGAAGAGAGAGAGACCTGGAGAGGCTGATCGACTTGAGCGAGGAGATCGGAGGAGTTGTTAGGCATAAGGCTGAGAAGTGCAGAGAGAGCAGTTTCCGTGTGTTTTGGCGGAATCCTCCGCATCAGTCCCATCGCGGCTTCCATGTCTCTCTCTTCTTTCAAATTCAGACCTTACACAACGCAAACATGCATATCATATCACAGTCCGCGACAATTCGTGTAAAGAGATTTTAAGTTTGTTTTCGCTTTTTTATTTTTATTATTATCCGAATTTTCCTCTATCCCCTTCTCTCTCTACTTGCATCAAAAGAATATAATATAATATAATTTCCTTATAAATATTTACCTGGACCGAAAAATATAGTATTTGTTTAAGAAATCCAATATACTAATACGAGTATCTTGGTTTGAAGGCTATAGAACATACATATTTTATTTTATATAATCGAAATTGAAAGCTAATAAACATATTGATGTAAAGAAATTTGTTAAGATAAGTTATTGACTTTAGGTATTTTAGAAATGACGGTAATATGAAACTTTAGGGTGGAAATGGGTTCCACTGAGGAATCATTATTGAAAGAATGGTATAATGGATTTCCATTTGATAGCAAGCATAGGGCCATGATTAACCCGCCATCAGCGAGAAAGTGGAATGAAAAGGGTTTGCCACATGGTGATTGCCAGATTAGGAGTTAGCTTGAAGGCACCAAACATTGGAGACATGGACAAGCAAACTATTGGGAACTAGCTTTTGTCTGTTTTACCTAAGTCATCCCACCTCCACAACCATTCTAATTATTTTTTCACCTCACAATTATGCCAATTTCTCTATCATATCATTTTCAATTCGCTTCACAAACTATGACAAATGTGTGAAACGCATTAAGGAAAAATGGATTTTCAATTTGATTTTGAAATCATATTCTATTATTAAGGTGTGTTAAATATTATAATTAATTTGAGGTCATCGCATTATATGGTCTATTTAGTTAACCGTTATTGTTGTTGATTTGTTGTAGTATAAGTTTGTTAGAATTCTTTACTTACATACTTAAATAAGTTTCCTGTAGGTTACATAAACACCAATAACATCTAAACCAACTATATAAAGGATCGACATCACTCTTTACCCAAAACCTTAAGACAATGAGTTAATGGGTCTTTCACCTTTATAAAGTGCTCTACTTTCTCATTTTTATCTAATGTGAGACTTAGACTTACACTTGGATTCAGAACCATCTCTAGTAAAAAACACCATGTATTAGTAAAACTAGATCATATAAACTAGAGGAACTTTTACTTCAACAAATGTAAAAACTCCATTAATATAAGAGTTCATCAAGCATATAAGAGAAAAAGAAACTCTCTTCCTTGCCGGATCTTTCATCCATTTATGTGCTATTAATTGTTCTTTTATTAATGGAACAACTAACGAGTCAATATTGTTAATATACAAAAACTCATTTATATTACAAATCCTATTCAAAGACCTCTTGGTCACTACCTTAATTTTTCAGACACCCAATCAGGTATTTACTCTAAAAGCCCAGATTTTTTTACATAACTAAATTAGATGTAATATGTTGTCACTTAAGTTAGAGAAAACTTTGCTCCTTGACACACATCATTCATCCATTAGAATGACTAGCATGCAAACAAAAATAATATTTAAAAAACTATTTACATGAAATATTTAATTAGAAACCCATTTACATTTTTCTCAGCTTTTCATGTACCAAATTTGATTTTTACTCTTTAATAAAATAAATTCATATATTACTACCACATTTAGTAGAATTGGAAAAACAAAAGGAAGAAATCCGTGCAATTTAGAAACTGAAACATCAATTAAATGAAAATTACTTTAGAACAGATATCATTAAATACAATAAAATTAATTAAAATCTACTCACGTTTTGATTAACCTTGTACATGAGTTCTTTAGTTCACTTATATATGGTCTGACAAATATACTACAGTACACGAGTCTAAGTTCCAACAATACGTATCAATCGTCATTAAGAATAAGATATTTACATATAGAATAAAAAAAATCTTTAAAGTGATTTTTTTTTTTAAAAATGGAAACATATTAAACACTTTTCTTTGACCCATTATAAATTGAGCATAAACGGTTTTATTCCCGTTTTACAAGGTCATTTTAAATTTCAAAAAATGTTTTAGCACTCAATTGGGCAGAATTTTTACTCTACCCTCTAAGAATAAAACAAAACAGTAAATTACTCACTTTGAACGATCCAGATCCGAGCCTGGAAAAACGTAAAATTTACTCACCACGTGCAAATATACCTTGTTCATTTTGCCGTGTTCGATAAAATTGTGCAGAATCAATTCAGCATTCCAAATCATGGTTTTGATGGAAGCACGTTGTTACTTTTGCAGTGGAAAAAATCCCATAGTGCTTGCATGGATAAAAGTAATCCCATAATTGAATATTATAATTACTTTAATAGTGTATAGATACCCTTTTTTGACAATTTACGCATCTAAAAATTATTTTTACCAAAGTATTAAATAACATTATACTAAAATTACACCCTTCAAACTCAGTTATAAGTTTTAACCAAAAAATAATTTTACAAAATTAAAAAGCCATACAAAATTAAGTATGCAAATGCTCACCCAAACACATTATATAACAAAGTTCACCAACGAAATCTTCATGCAACTGTGTTGAGTTTGGCACGGCGTTCTTCATATGATGCTAGATTTAATTAAACAAGAAAGCAGTCAGATCAGAGGAGCCAAGAAGTATATTCGTGAAAAAAATTTGGTATGGAGCTTGGAAGAAAACAAATCATTCATATTCCATTTATAACATGCATTAAGTAATTTTTAAATAATTTTAAAAAATATTTCAGGATACAGAACTCACGCTCAGTAGGACGTGACATAAGAGGAACATGGGAAACTTTCTTCTTGGTTGCCTGAAAAGGCAGCAAGCTTTGATCTGGAAAATGAAGGGTTATAAGCAAAATAGATCATGGATTCACGATAAATAAAAGAAATTAAAAAGTAATTTGCTAACGCATTTGCAGCACCATTTGAAAGAGGCACACAGTTAAGAAGAGCTTCGTGAAAGATTGTAGTTTGAAGCTGGTAAATTTGGCATTCATTCACCAAGTGTGACCGCAAAGCATCTCCAGCATCTAGATATGCAATCAATTAAATATATTCAACCAAAGTTTATGGCATTAATATGTTAACTAAGTAGTGTAAAATCTGCGGAAAGGAATCCAACCAACCAATAAGCCACCATATTCAAATCTTACAAATCAGAAATACCTGATGAACATATAAACTTAATGTCATCAAATTCACAGCACTGAAGAACCAACGGAACCTCTGAAGCCATAGTATACTGGGGTTTCCTTAAGATCCTAGTAGTGTCGAGTAGCATATCAATCACCTTCAAGTTTAAGCATGAAAACTTGTTATCTTAAACTGCAAAATAAGAAATCCATATGTAGAGATAAATTTTCCTAGGATTTAATATTGCAATGTAATGCAATGACTCTTTATATATATATATTAAAGAGACAAGGTGACACTGAGGAACTGAGGATAACATCGAGTAGGTTAACATAGGTGCTACAATAGTTTTTTTCCAAACTCACATACTTCAATATCAGTACCTTTACTCACTACCTATAAAACCCATATCCATCACCCATATCCACCAGCCTCCACACGAGTCAAATTTGCAGAATGTTGATAAGTAACCCCTACAAGAGCGTCTTCATATATCTCAGAAGGCAAAATGCTTGCAATGAATTTTTTTCATACAGGTAAAGAATTCAAATTCTTGATCATCAGATTTATCACCCGAGTCAGAACTTCTTTTTGGTAAACATAAATCATGTGATTCATCCCCTGCTTCTGGTTCCTTGTTCTTATCTACTTTATCATCACCCTCAAAATTTATCATTGCATTTTCCTCCATGCTGATGGAAGCCAAACCCAGTTTTTTCCTTGAGGTGATCTTTTGAACCTCAAAATATTTCTCGGCTCTTGTAGTCCAGGGCTTTAGCATTTTTTCTCCTTCCTCATTTGATATATTACCATGTACACAGCTTACTTCCATCTTTTCTTCAACATTAATTGAGTTTTCTCCCCCTTTGGATAGTTTCTTGCTTTTCTTGAGATCTTGCCACAGTTCTTCCTTCTCTTCTACATTCCCTGAATTCTCCCCACATTTGGAAAATTCTTGATTTTTTGTTGCCAGATTATCCACTGGACTGCATTTTCTTCCATGTTGATAAGGTTGGATGATAACTTATTGTTGATCCTTGATTTTTTTGAACTTCCAAAACACTGTCCTTGCAATCTGACCTTGGGGGTCATTCCCTTCCAATGTGGGCTACTCCACCCTTTAAACCCCAGGGCAAAGTGGTTCTTTCTCACCATTATTAAGTCCATTATTGTCAAAGGCATCCTCTGCTCTTTGCTTTTCCTGCTCGGTTGAATTGTCTCCTCCGTCTGGAGGAAGATCTTTGATCTCTTTTATTTCCTGCAAGCCATCTTTCACAATACCCAAACCAGTCTTTACCTTTTTCTTTTCTTTCTTGATATCTTGAAGAAGTTCTTTAATCTCCCTCAAGTCCGGTAGGATCTCTTTGGTAATAGACAAACTTGTTTTCATCTCTGCCATAACTCTTCCTTGCTTGCTGGCCAAACTTCCAAACTTACCCTTCTTTGATCTGGTAGGTCGGACTAATTTGATGGGAACCCAAAATAAGAGTAATATTCTTTATTTATTGAATAGACAGAAAAGAACACAAAATAGGAAATCACCCTTTCCTCCAAGGGTTTCTCCTTCACAAAGAGCTAAAGCTCAAACTACAAAATTATCGTCCTCCCCTCCAAGGGAATGATGGGTCTAATTATAATAGACCAACTCCCAACGGACATCACTGCATCCACTTTTCTGTTCCTTCCTTTATTCACCGCTTCCTTTTACTTTTCCTTCTACAATAAACCTTCCATAATTCTATCACACTCCTCTAATCAAGACTCTAATAATTCCATTCCACTCTTCACTCTCCTCATTATTTACATGCCTAACACCAACTCTAGTTTTACACAACAGAATTACATGATTTTGTTTGATTGCCACATTCATCTACACATAACTGTTAGAAGAGCCAAGATTCATTATTGTGACCAATCAAACAAAATTATCTACACTTTTAAATTCTACAGAATCAATAAAGAAACAACTAAAATTTTAAAATTGATTTATATAAGAGGGTGTCAAGTACACACATTTGGAGATTCAAGACCTTTGCCAACCATGAATAGAACAGCAACCATGCAGCGAACCTGATGCCATAGAAAAGCACTGCCTTTTATTTTAATCACCCAAAGTTGATTAACCATTGTACCTGCAGGTAAATGGGAAAAACATTGACTTCAATCAAAAAACCTTGTTTAAATTTCCACTAATCTTAGCCTAACAAAATATATGATATTAAGATAAGCTAACACAGTGGCACATTTGCAACATCCAATTTATATATATTTTAAGTGTTGTTTCCTACATACTTCTTGCCAGTAAAAATGCACCCGAAGAAACACAAGGATGAGAGTAAGAAAAATGTCTACCAATCTTAACCTCACATCGGTAGGAGAAATCTCAAACAATGTGATGTGCCGCCTGTAGTTGTGCACATTTGCTGCATCCATTTTACAGAAGTTTCTAAAGTCATGCTCTCCAACAAGTTTGTTTCCAGCACTCTCCATAGCCTAATGGGACATGAATAGATGAGAAGTGTTACAGTTCACGTGCTTCTAAAATCTTTGAAATGATTGCAAACAAAAAGAGAAAAAGAAAAACAAAACAAGGTTCAAGAAATTAGAGAATTGAATAGAAAAATTGATTTCCGCTACCGGATGTTCAATTTTTCTTCCAGAAGAAATATTTATACTCCCTGCTTAAGCAACTGACTGACAAAGCACACATGGATAGAACAGGAAACGAAATAGAATAATTCAATATTGAAGCTTCATTAAGCCAAAGAGTTAAATTATTTATTGCAAGATCTTCACAAGATGAGGTTTGTGTCAGTAATAAAGACAATCCAGCCTGAGTCACAATCCTACCTGTTGGAAGTCCCATATCGACTAGAGATAAGGCCAAATTTAATATATAAGTGAGGTACAAACCTCACCTTACAAGCCGGTTTTGTGGGGTTGAGTTAGGCTTAAAGCCCACTTCTTAACTTGGTGTCAGAGATCCCGATCTTGGAGCTCCGTTCCGCTGCACAGTTGCGCTGCCGCAGCTGTCTGACCACCGCCGCTGCCGCCGTCGCCAATTGGGGTCGTTGATAGGGCAGAAAGATGCGCCCAACACTGCGACCACAAACAACCGGAAGACACTCCGTGAGAGAAGCCGTCACGCGCCGCCACCGTCGCTGGTTCGTGTAGCCCACGCGCCCACCTCTGACAAGACCCACTTGCTGCCGCTGCAACAGATAGGGTCGTCGAAGCCTCCTGAGTTTGTTCCTAGGGTCGGTGACGACCCAGCCTATATTTGAGTAGATCTGAGTTTTAAGTTTTGCTCCTTTTCTCGGTGTGACCCACACGCCGTCGTCGTCTCGGAAAAGGTCACTGGAGACTCCTGGTTGCGTTCTACGGGATGTCTGAAGTAAAAATTATACCTTTGGATCCTAATGACCTACCAAATATAGGGGCTAACCTGTCGGTTGGATGGGTCAGAATTTCTTACCAATGGAGCCAATTTATTCGAAGGGCTCTCAGGGTCATTCAAGACTTGATCACAATAGAATGGAGGAGGGCCAGGACCAGACGACGCTCATTTTTTCAATCTGGGAACAAACAATGAAGATTCATTAATTATGACTTGGATGTGCAATCCCTGATTCCTAAGATAAGTAGAAATTATATGTATTCTTCTGCTGCAAAAGAAATATGGATGATTTATAGAGTACTTTTTCATTAAGGATCTCGAGCGCTTGAAAGCAATGGTTGAATCAATGAGTAAGCCCTCTGGATCATGATACTCTGTCCATAAAAGGTAAGATTTGTCTCAATACTATTGGTCAACAGGAAAATATGTACTTGATCTCCTCAAAGAAACAGGAAAGCTGGGATGTAGAACCTCAACAGTTCCTATAGAACAGAATCACAGAATTGGAAGTGAGAAAGTGCTCCTGTAGAGAAGACCCAATATCAAAGATTGGTAGGAAAATTGATTTATTATACACACAAGACTAGACATTGCTTATGCAGTTAGTGTAGTGAGCCAATTTATGCATGATCCAAGAGAGAGACACCGCAAGCAGTTGACAAAATTCTCCAATCTTGAAGTCAAGTCCAGAAAGGGGCTATTATTCAAAGGGAAGACACATTGACTATGAAGATATATACTGATGCTGACTATGCAGGTTCTATTACTGACAGAAATCTACTTCTGGGTATTGTGTGTTTCTTGGAGATAGTCTGGTAACATGGAGAAGCAAAAAGCAAGATAGAGTATCACATTCTAGTGCAGAAGCTGAATTTCGAGGTCTTTGCTCAAGGAATGTGTGAAGGACTCTGGATGAAAATCATTTTGGATGATCTTAAAGTCAAAGTGAGAACCCGGTGCAACTACACACTATGACAATAGTTTGCCATGAGCATAGCCCATAATCCAGTCGCATGACAGCCAAACCATTAAGATTGACACATTTCATCAAAGATAATCTGACATAGGCTTTGTGATTACAACTCATGTTCCTATACAGACTAAACTCAAATAGCAGATTTTTACAAAGGGTTTCCTCCGAGTAGATTTCAAAATCTTGTCAGGCAAGTTGGGAAGAATTGACTATTCACTTACCACTTGAGGGGGAGTTTGTAATTAGAGAAGATATCTTAGAATCTTCCTATTAGAGAAAATAGATATATATCTTCTATTTTATATTTTTGTTTACCTAGTTTCCCTATTTTCCTTTAGTGGAGAATTAGATTATTACAAATAGAGGATAATGAGAATGTATTTTTCATGATTGAGATAATAAAATCAGTCATATTTTCAATATGGTATCAGAGCCAGGTTGGAGCTATCCTAGCGAGATCTATTGGGGCATTATGTTCCACCCGTTGTCGGGCCACTATCGATCACCCATTAATTCTACTCTCCCTGGAGATGTCTATACCTCTGTGTAAAGGGGTGTGTTTTGGAAGTCTCACATCGACTAGATATAAGGTCAAATTATAATATATAAGTGAGGTACAACCTCACCTCCCATCTGTATCAACTTACAGTGTAAAGTGAAAATAAAATTCTCTATTTCTGATCTAATTAAAATAGATAATCCACTTGCCCATGAAAGAAAAACTCTAAAATGAGCCGAGTTCCAAGTGCATTTGTCTGGCAGTCCCGAACAAGATTATGGGCTTTTGAAAATAATTTATTATCAAAATACAATATTAACCACCACAATATTAAAAAGCGCAACCCTCCTCCCTCCAAAATGGAAATTCTAACTCACTAATGTTATAGTTACAGATCACTAAAATGAACTTCAGTTGTCACTAGGCTGATTTGCAACATCAACTGGAATAACGTAAGAAAAATTGTTCATGTTTGATTCAGCCCATCCAAATATATAATAAAACTACCCAGACAAGTGCCCATCTCTGCTTTAATTTTTCCCCACCTACTTTTATCTTTTAGATTTATTATTATATTTGCATTGAAATTGTTTCCCTTTATCTTTGCCCACTGTGCTTATGCAAGGGATCGGTAATCTAATTCTGGTAAAACCTTTTGTTAAAGCATAAGCATGTGGATGTTAACTTTAGCATCCATTCCGATACCTGATGGGTTACTTGGGTAATGATACTCAAACCTATTACCTTCATTTTAGTTCAAAAAGTGTTATTTCATAACTTAAAACATAGCAACAAAACACTAATCTGAATTTAAATTCCACATAATAAATTGATCAAAAAACATAAATATATCCATTGCTTTTAAGTTTTAAGAAACAAAAAAAAAATTCAAAACAAGCAAAACATAATTATAAAATAAATAACTAATAACTATTGAAGCCAAAATTTTAAAGAATAGATACAAACCTTGCATGGAAATCAACAGGAGCAGGACACCAGCCCAAAATTCGAATGTCATTTGGAAGGACTCGATTTAGCACCCTAACATAATCTATTTCCCCTTCTACTTAAAAAAGGTGTCAGTGGTCAGTACTAAACATGATAGCTGTCACTAACATTACCATATAATAAAACTTAATAAACCTCTACGTGACATTTTCAATTCATAATAGTAAGATAGATTACCATCAATCATAGATCCCCACATCCTGTTCTACTTAAAGTCGGGTTCTAAAACTTTAAAACTAATACTACAAGAAATAAGGATTAAAATATCATGAAAAACTCAACTTTCCTTACATCACTGAATTAACCTTCTCCAGCTGGGGAAGAAAAAAGATGATTATTATTACGTAAGCTCAACTAGGAGGATTGTGCCAGAATTATAATTTCAAAGAGAAGGACATTCCTACTGATGGTGTGGAATTCAGAATAAGTAATTGGTGTTGGTGTTATTTATAAATTTAATCTTTCATAGGAGAGAAAAGAGAATGCAGGAAATAAAATCCAGTCACCAATACAGCAACACAAACTACCCTTGACCGTACACATATTTATAGTGTTTGGTCACTTGAATTTTAGTTGTAAATTTATTACATAAAATTTTGTAGCAAAATTAAGAAAGTAATTATTAATGGCAATATCAGATTCAACATTACAAATCTAATTTCACAAGCATTAACTCGCTTCATTGATTAAATGTGACTCTGATATAAACTGAAAATTCTTAGTGTTAGCTCTAAACAAAGAGATAAAAGGCTCCTTACACAAAGTTAAAGGACTGGAAATAGAACATTTGAAGCAACAAAAAAAAAAGACAATACAGCTGTGCGGTCTACCCTCAAAACCTATACAATTTTTCCATAACCTTTTCTCTGGGCTCCTCTTCCCTCATGTGACGCCCTTCACATCGCCCCCCATCCTGCCTCTTCCACCCCTACCCAAATCTCACTGGGTTCACCCTCCTTTCTTCTCTTATATCACCCAAGTGTCAATGCTCTACCAGATTCACTTTATGATGCAAAAGCGAACAAAATAAGAAAATCAAACGAGATTAAGTCTACTAAAAAATTATGAAAATCAGAAGCAACAAAGAATTTTTGTTTTTAAAAAGTTATTCTACTAACCATGTTTCTCATCCAAAACAACTTCTCCAGAATTTCCATTATTTATTGCAGATAACTTGAGGTTTGATCTTAGGAAAAGAGCTATCACCTGCTTCAAGATGTTGCTATCATCAGAACCAATTAAACAATGAACTGGCAGATTATACGAAGTTCCAGTTATCAACAGTAAAATAGTGGAATATAACAATTAGAAATTTGGCACTAGCTTTTAACCTACACACGTCAGTGACCTCGTACAATAAATACAACTACAAAAGTGTTAAGGTCATGTACACCATTAAGCTTGGTTAAAGGCTAAATATTAAGAGATATTGTTTGCCATGAGATCCCTCTTACAAATTCCTCAAATGTCCTTCTTGCTCTCCCTCTCCCTTTCCTCCAACTTCCTCAAACAACAAAACAACCTTGTAATTGATTTACTATGAACAGATTATAAACAATAATATATTAAGGATTGTGGAACACTTACATTGTCGTTTTCAGGTTTTATTGTTTTAGTTAGATGAACACAATTTCCTAGAGACAGGAAGAATACATATTCTCCAAACCATAACCTAATAGGAGGCCCCAAATTAAGAGGTCCTAAATAACTTCCTCTAATTTAGGCTTAGTTGGACCTAACTAAACTCTACATGCAGCTAGTAAGGAGAGGACTACCCAATATTTATAAGGACTATGATGGTTTTATCTCTATTTGAAGTGGGAACTCTACAATGGGCATAAATATTTCTTTTTCATTTCAACCCCACAATAGCACAGCCACACTAACTAGTAGATAAATCCAAATTCAGTCAATGAAGCTGCTACATACTTTCAGTGATACAGTATTACTATTCGTCTTACTAAGAAATTTTGTCCAGCTTCAAGACTTTAAACCTTTCAAGGAAGTGTAGATTTCCAAAGGGTTATTTAAAGATAACTTCTCATGGTTTGGGGACTTGATGGGAAATTGGATAAATAACCTACATATATACACCCCAGAAGAAAGGCTCCAAACTATTTTTACCATTTAAAGAATACAAGTGAATTGAGTCTAGCAACAATAACAGAAACTCCAAGTCAGTTACTTCTCTTAATCCAGGTTTCAAGAAAAATAAAGGTCCCAAGAAATTATGGAACCTTGCATGTGATAGAGTGGAAGGGAATAAAGTCAATTGAGAATCAGCAAAGTATAAATCCCCATACATAGGTCTTACCCAAAGATAAAGAGTCTCGAAATAATTATAATGTTTTTACTAGTTTAGAAGTTTCCTCTCTATCTCTGTTGAGGCACTCAACAAAAGTATCTTATCTTTTCTAGCATTGCATTTTCCATATAGGCCTTTACTCTTAAGAAGCACAAAGATTGTTATTGGGTGATGTCCTAATACAGAAATGGAAAAGATCAACTTGTTTTATTATCTTTTCCTAATCAAGTTATGTATCATAATAGACAACACTTCCTTTCTATTCTTTTTTACTCTTCCACGCCTGTACTTACTTGTCCAACAGAGGAAACCCCTTTATCTGTTCTACCACATCTTGAATACTGTGACTCCTTCTTATTGCCAATTAATAGCCTTGTTTTCTCAAAAGCTTTAAAAAGTTCAGACTGCAAGAAAAATGACAAATGATAAATAAACAGAGGTATTCACATACAGCATATGCAATGGTTTTACCAAATTATCCCCACAGTTGACAACAAGAATACTTCTTCCGGAACAAATAATAATGTGATTACATTGAAAATTCTGCTTCGTGGTATGCATGATCAATTTATGCAGATTGAAATTTATTGGCTTGGGTTTCTGAAAAAACAAACCTCAACAGTTGGTTGCATTTGTGCCTCTGACGCAAAACCATAAAACCTGAAATCCACAGGTTGTTAGAAGACCTTGATATTAATTATAATGTTGAATTTAATTCAATATACACCAGAAGTTTAAAGAACCGAAAAAGCAAAATAATAAGGAATAAAAAAAAATTCAATATAGATCAGCATCTCAGCAGAAATTGATAAGATGGAAAACAACAGCAAATCCTTTCCTAGCTCCAACTGGGTGCGGTGGGGGATATAGGCTGAGGTGAAAAAGGTTTGACTCTCAACCTCTGGACAGCTAAGACGGTAGCTATGAGGCAAATTGTTAAGACAGAAAACATAGGCAAATATTACAGTGATAGCATATACCTTTTTCCAAAGTACATGACTTTTAAAGCTACGTGTCTCTTGCTGTGATGGCTCATAAACCCTGTGTCATAACCTGTTTCATGATGTAAAAGCTGATTTAAATTTGTAGATCTTTTTTACAAAATTAATAGTAGCTACACCAAAGAAAGGAAACACGTATACACAGGTAAGAAACAATTTAAAAGTAAAACACCATTGGAACTGAAAAACAGAAACAAGATATACACGTAAAAAACCACTGAGATCAAGAAGTTAAGACAACCATCAAACACAGTACAGAGATTCTACTGAAGATCAGAAAGTGGAACTTATAACTTAAATTTTAATATAATTTTGACAAAAAAACATAAGGGGGCAAAGACAGAAATTTATCGTGACATTATTTATTAAAAAAAAATCTCTTAGGACCCATGTCACAGGTGCCACAGCTACTCCCCTAAAGAAAGTGTCCAGAACGGAACCTGACTCTTTTTTCTCTATCTTCTTTTCGAATTTCCTGTTGCCTTCTTTTGATTCCCTGTCTTTCCCGTCAGGGCCATGTAATTTTTCCTCCATCTGCATCACAGATTCAAACAAATTTCATTGAAGACAGCAGCTTCCCCCCGTATATCTTTCCTTTTCATGGTTAATTTTTCCAGAATAACTGTGCTCCAGTATTGTCAAAATATAAAATACAACCAAAAATACAAACAAAAATATGAAATAGTCTACCAGCTAACCTCATGACTGTGGCAATCAGCAAGTTGAGCCAACAGCTTTGCATTCTCAGTTTCTAGCTCCTGATAGTATGAAACACAAATCAGTAGGAAAAAACATGTCAAAGTTGCAATGCAAGACAAAACCACCTAAACCTAACAAAACACTGTGACTGGTTTTCCTATTCAAGATTATCTGAGCTTCCAGAAACAGACAAACAACAACAAAAGCAATTTAGGATATATTGATGCAAACGCAGACCGAATAGCAGAAAATAAAAATAACTCTACAGGCTAAGAAAGAAAAACATCGACAATTGGCTGAAATTGAATGGAAAATACCTTGACCCTGGCTTGCAAGCTGACTATGAGTTCTGCATCGCTCGGTTGAGTCGCCATGGTCAAGACACGAACAAACACTGTATTGCAGTTCGGTGCAGTTTCTCAAACCTCAAATCGGTGCTACATATTAACTTATTAATTACAGAGCTTATTGTGGATTAATGATCCGATTAATGGAATCCTTTCTAGGAAAATAACCTACTGTACCATTCGATTCAAGATAATTAGGTTTTATTTAGTTTTGAGTTATTTCACTGCAAAAAGAAAAAAACTAACCTTAGATATGACAAAAATCATTATAAAAATTAGATATCCATTTATATAACTAAAAATTATTAAATATTAAAATAATCATTATTGAAAATTAAAATTATAATTAATTTATAAATTAGTCTCTAAAACAAGTTACCGATAATTATTAATATAGTTCATTGGATTTAGAAGAAAAAATGAAACTCACCGATACCTTTAATCAGGAATTGAAACGTTTTTTTTTCTAATTTGTATTACAAAAATGAATTTTTAGATTAGGTTAAACAATAATGTACAGGGTGTTGCTCCCTCCACCACCACACCTCTCTCCCTCCACCTTCCATTTATTATTTTGTCCTTAAGTAAAATTTTATTTTTAGGATTATTTTTTAATTTTATCCATTTACAACCTATTCCACTAATAACCTTTTCTAGTACATGAGTAAAATATTTTTCTTTCATTTTAACATTATATTTCTTCCTTTTTTTTTTTACAAGTTGCAAAGGTTGGTGGTGGTGAAAAGAATGATCAAACAGTCTCTCTCGTGGTGCAGTGTCGCTCTGGTAGTGTAGTGTAGTGTGTGGAGTGGTGCAGTGTGTTGCTTCCTCAAGCTGCGTATTCAAATAAACCTTCAAATAAAACCCTAAATAAAAAACGTAATCTTTAAGACATCCTTCAACGGATGTCAACATCCGTTTAAGGTAAAACGGATGTCGACATCCGTTTTACCTTAAACGGATGTTGACATCCGTTGTGATGAATATTTATTTAGTTAAAATTAATTAGAATGTGACGGAATTTTTTGATCAGTATAATGGTAACAAAATAGTGTTGGGTAAAAAAAGGTGTTCCATTCATATTCTTTTGTTGATCTATCTATATACATTTATTGTTTAACCTAATCTAAAATTCATTTTGTAATACCAATTTAGAAAAAAAAAAAACGTTTCAATTCCTGATTAAAGGTATCGGTGAGTTTCATTTTTTCTTCTAAATCCAATGAACTATATTAATAATTATCGGTAACTTGTTTTAGAGACTAATTTATAAATTAATTATAATTTTAATTTTCAATAATGATTATTAATTTTAATATTTTTAGTTATATAAATGGATATCTAATTTTTAAATGATTTTGTCATATCAAGGTTTTTTTTTTTTGCAGTGAAATAACTCAAAACTAAATAAAACCTAATTATCTTGAATCGAATGGTATCGTAGGTTATTTTCCTAGAAAGGATTCCATTAATCGGATCATTAATCCACAATAAGCTCTGTAATTAATAAGTTAATATGTAGCACCGTTTGAGGTTTGAAAAACTGCACCGAACTGCAATACAGTGTTTGTTCGTGTCTTGACCATGGCGACTCAACCGAGCGATGCAGAACTCATAGTCAGCTAGCGTCGTTTAACGTTCCCCTGCAATTTCATTTTCTGCGTTTTCTGCATTGTTCCAGTGTTTTGTTTCTGCAAATTTAGTTTTTGTTGTGTTTTGATTTTGCACGTTTACTGTTTTTGCTTTTACTGCATGTCGCTCGGTCTTTGATTTGCACCGTTCGGTTTCTAACATGCTTTGCTGTTAGAGACCGTTCGGCTTTTCTTTCGCATTAAGTTTTCTATTCGTTCGGTTCTTAGCTTATTTAATTAATATCGTTCGACCCATCTTTATAACCGTTTGGCTTTTATGTTGCTAAAATTACTTTTACCGCTCAGCTTTAATCTGCTCATTTTTCATTTTTAACTTGTTTCCTCAATTATCGTTTGGTCTCCTCATCATGACGTTTGGTCTTATGAACATAACTGTTCGGTATCTAGCACACTCATGTTAGCACCGTTTAACCTTGTGAATAGGACCGTTCAGCCTCATAATAACCGCTCTGTCTTCATGTTTTCCACATTTAATTCAATGCTTTCAATTATGCTTACATCTTTATTTAATTTCCAGTTTTAAATTAGTTTAATTTTCCTTGCAAAAACACTTTCAAAACCCGCCCACTGTGTTTTTGACCTATGTCTCAAACCACATTTGGTCCTTGAGAGAAGACCCAGGAGTCGCTTCCTAGCACTATACTGCATCTTTAATGCACATCAAATTTGTATGGGGTGCGACCACCATCAAATTTTGGCGTCGTTGCCGAGGACCAACGGTTCGGCATTAGGTCTTTTGTTGTGTTAGTGTGTGTTGTTCTGTTTTGTCTTGTGTTGTGTTCTGTCTTGTGTTTTGTGTTGTGAGTGTGTTTTGTGTGTGTTGTCATGTGTGTTGCATTTAGATAGCTTTAGTTGCATATTTTTACTGCATTCTTCCTTTTCCCCTTCTTTCACCATGTCTACCTATTTTGGGTATAAAAATAGTGATTCTTCTGCCTGTGCCTATAATTATGATTCTCTTTCTGCATGTTACTCTGATTATGGTTCTCATGCTGATTTCTATGTTGAGAACAATATGACTCATCCTCCCACTCATGAGAGTGCACATTGGGAGTCGGTTACATCAGATGAGGATGATGTTCATTGCGTTTTCTGTAACACCCCTTATGGAGTGCCACTAGAAAAAAAACAAAATCCAAAATTTTACGCCAGGTTTTTTTTATTAACATCGCGGAACTAAACCTCAAAAGTTTAGGCGTCTTACAACATAAGGTTAAAACCTTACAAATCTCAAATTCATTATTCAAAAACATAAAATTACCTTTAAAACATGATAAATCCCCCATAGTTATTCCCATAACTCTCGTCATGCTACTCCATCTCTGCCTCATCTGCACGCCATCTACTCACGTACAAGTACGATCATCGTAGGTGGAACCACAATCACAAAAGGAAAGGGTGAGTAACTGAGAACCTAACATAGCATATAATTTCAATCTCAAAATATCATAACTTAGATTATCTTAGTCACAACCTTACAATACAACATTCAACTCATAACTTAGATCATCACCACCCAAACTATCAAAGTCACAACATTATAATACATCGCAGTATGAAACTCACAACTCAAATAATTTACACAAGCTTTGTGTTTCCT